TGATGATGATGATGATGATGATGATGATGATGATGATGATGATGATGATGATGATGATGATGATGATGATGATGATGATGATGATGAAGCACTGACCAAATACCGCCCGCATAATCAATCCTTCTGAAGAGGTCATCAGGAGGTCTTTTTGCTGCATAAATATCCTTTCGTTTTGCCCTGTTTACTTTTTATCCAGGGAATTTTGTAGTTGTTTTCTCGATTTATCCGTCAACAGCTGGATCGGAAAACACTGGTTCGAGGGAATTCGTGGAAAGTAATGTCTAAATGCAACCTGGGCCAGATCCTAAACAATATAATGCTTATGTGGTTGAAACCGCGATAGTGAAGTCCCTCGTGGTGATTGCCCACATAACCTGTCTACATGCCCTGTTCAAAGTTAGCTTTGGTGTACCGCCACATAAATAGGCTTTTCGGGAACTGCGATTGATCTACTAGTATAAAAATCTCACTTTGGTTTACTAGATTTTTGCAGAATGTTGTACTCATCAGTCGTTTTTGTTTGTTTCTCTGTTAATAAGTCATTCCGCTTTAGGACGCCGATTGTTCCCCACACAATCGCAGTCATTTCACACTAACAAAGAGTTCCCACATGTCGTGAATTATTATTGGAGTGCAGTATCTTCGAAATTCTAATGTCGTTATAAATGAGTTAGAGATGTAATGAGTTGCGCGAGATCAGAAGCCTAACTCCTCCATAGTCTCTACCCATAGCGGGGTGACCTGTCAGCTGTTCGTTAAATGGACAACTACTAATTTTTTTCAACATGGACATCAAATGCAATCAATGATTATGCTACAGAAACGATACAACTTGCATACAAGTTGTTCTATTCTTGTCTTTCTGTCGCGCTGTTTGGCGTCGCTTTCCTTGGATCACATATCATTCTGGAAGTGAAGCCTTCCAAGAGAAACGTCTGTCGTCCTCTGCAGCTAGAATTAAGTTGATTGTTCTGTGCTCGACCAACCCGGATTCACTCAGGGTCGGCATTCTCGATTGCAGCGCTGAAGACCTTGTAAGGAGGGAGGAGGTTCCGACTACTTAATCGCACTGTTCAATGATTAGGGCGTATCAACTCGCGCGTTTCCCACCGGAATTACGTCGCTCTCACCGTGAGTGACTTTTTCAGACGTGAGCGAACATCTGACTTCGAAGTTATCTTATTTTTTCACGAGGAGGCAATTTCAAAAGATAACCTGTCTGTTCAATGTACTCGGGTGATAATTATTCACTTGTCTGTGTATAGTTTCATCAGCTATTGTCGGACTGTGTGGTGGAATTTATCGGTTCACCGGGGCGATCGTTCCAGTTATCTAAGTGACACGTCCAAATGCACTTACCTGTTGATATTGTCTACATTAGTGACAAAATGATTGCAACAAAATTACCAAGCTGAGCCCAAATACACGACCTCCGCTCCCGATTTTTTGTTCCTTATTAAACCTGTAAGTCTCATGTTTTTAGAAGAATGCTTGAGGCCGCCAAAATAGTCTGGAAGTGGCTTTTCCTCTTGCATCAGTCTCCCATTTCACGTTTTTCTCTCCAGTTTCCCTAGCCAGTGGTGATGGCGGAGCCTCAACTCTCTAGGGCTGTATCGCGAGGGAGAACGATAGGTTTAAAAGGAAACATCTTTCGTCGTCGCCTTTTTGTTTAATTGGCGGCGGTTCTGAAAGGAAGTTAGCTCCTGTTGACTCCCACAACAGTCCTACCTTAGGTCGTCATCGACCTTCCCGGCCGAGTTTTCTGTCACAGTGATCCAACCGCACTCCTTATTCCCAACTTGAATGATCACTCTATGTTTGCAAATCTCTCATCGTTCAGTAGCTAACCTATGCTAAGTTCTTCGTCTTCGTCAAATCACCGTCAGACGTCTGCGTTAATGGTACAGCTATGTTGAGGAGTTGCATTCAAGTTAAAATAATCTATCACAAAGAAATCAGGTTAGATTCTCACAATGTGTATGTTGGTGTTTGGTGTAGAACAAAGCTAAAAAGCTGCGAATATCTGGTGGTGTGTGTGTGGGTGATGCCATTCCCACACAGTAATAGTTTTTTCCAAGCTTAAGGTGACTCCATGGTTAACGCACGAACTTACTGGTCGATTCTTGATTCGAACCCAACCTCTGTATCTTGACTGCTCCTGCATATGCTTGGGCAACCTGACACTACCTCAGCAGTCAAGCTTTCTTCGGGTGACATGACACACAGGCACGAAAAGGTTGTTAAAGCTAGACGATTATTATTTCTTTGTAGTCGCTTTTCCATTCTCCGATGAAACTATAATTCCACGGTTAAAAGCGAATAGACTTGGCAAATAAGGGGTTAAGTTGATCGGTTCAATGAGTTTAATTTACAGTCTACCCAAACGTTGGCTTCCAAGCCGATGAGTCATAGAGCTCTAGAACTGATGTGAGCGCTATTTAGTCCTTAGAGGCTGTGGACCCCTTGAGGTCTGCATACAAGAAAGTCATTAGTGTCTTGGTACCACTTCGGAGTTCTTCGTCAGATGGGAAGATCAACAGTCGTCGTTTGCCCATTCAAACTTCTTGAAAGCACTTAGTCCTTTTTATTCACTTTGTTATCACCGGTTTGTTATCCTGAAATGTTAACGTCTCCTCTTTTCCGTGGCGGGATGTAACACATGTAGGGGGCGGGATGGACCAAGTGGTCAGAGCGCGAATTTACTGACCGGATGGTCCATGGTTCAAACCCGACCTCTGCCTCTTGACTTCCCCTGTCTAGGCTTGGGCAACCTGCAATATCCCAGCCCTCGTGCCTCCTTCGTGTGGCATGGGAGCTAGGCACCGAAAAGGTTCTACAGCTGAACGATTTTTTTCATGCAGGGCTTATACAAGAAAACATTCAAACCGAAGTGGAACAGTCAGCAGTCACACTAGTAAAGTCGAGTGTGAAATGACGTAACCGGAGGACTCGGCTCCAGAGACTCGCCAGTGATACCATCATTGAGGTGGTTAGACGTTGAAGAAGTTTTATTCCTGAAATGGGTTGATTCTGCCGCTTCCAATTCGCACCGACAGGGGGCCTTTGGCTGAAGTTACTTTACCACTTTCTGTCTAAAATACCTTATGGACTGTGTGCTAGTTTTTTGGGCTGCCATTATGCTCGTTCCACTCGATGAAGTCACTATTTCTGTTGCTCGCAGGTACTCATAGAGGCCGATCCAACAATGGTTCGTGTGGATCAAGTAACCGGGGCTGATGGCGCACCCGACTTACTCATCACCCTGGACCGTGATAAGTTGAAAACCGTGGCAAAACCAGCGATTGGAGCATTTTTGGAGAAGCTGCAGGTAACCAGCATCGGTCTTTTGAGATTAATCAAATCATCATCTTTTCTGACCAATCAGTGGCCAGTCAGTCTGAACTATGGGTCCACTTCTACAGGTTACCTCGGCAGTTTGTTCTTATGCTGCGTTCTTTTTCATTAGTTGGTAGTGCAGTGTTCTTCCTGTTACCAACACACATCACTGGGTGTCTGAAGTGAAAACCACTCTCTAAACATGGACCGACAGGGTAGGAAGCCACATACCAGGTCCGCTTATTTTCATCTTCTAAGTCGTCACTTGAACAACCGCATTGAAAATAAGTTTTTCTCTTGGTGCAGTATGCACATTTACCAATTAACATGTTAACAAGAGTCTCAAATGGACCCTAGTTGAATCCCTGGTTTGTGATATTCTCCTACCGAATGTGCCGTACAAAGGCCGCCTCATATTTCAGTTGGTGTGACATGCGAGACATCACAGTATTTTCTCTTGATGGAACTATACTCCCAAGGTTGCTGAAGACATTTCGACAGCCCACTAGCGGTCCCGTCCTTCTTGAGGCGCGGTCCCCTAGTTTCCATCTACCATGTGATCTACCTGAACACCGCTTCATATGCAATGGACGAAGTGCGGCACACACTTGTATACTATATTCAGTTGACGAATGTCACAAAGAGGTGTTTGAGCTGACACTCACTTGAGTCTACAGTTAACAGCAAATTAATGTGCATACAATATGGTGCTCAAGTGCAACCTGGGGTTGACGACAACTCGTATACCGTGGCTACCTGATAAGCCCCAAGAGGGGGAAAAGCAGTCGTGAGCTGCCGAAGAGTTTCCAGCAACTTTATGATTAACGTGTTTCTCTTCATTTCGGACAACCTGCCTTCATTTGTTTATCTCTCATTTTTCCACAGTATTACAAGAGCACCGCAAATGTCAAAGATGGTGGGGCGTTCTTCTTGAAGTATTCCGAACTAGCACCGGAACACCAGGCCGTGCGGAAGATTGTGATCGATCGCAAACGTCCACGTCCTCTGTTTGTTCAACCAAATTTGCGTCAAGTGAATGGAGAGATCGAACTAGTCCCCTATCCGACAACCTACTCAGGCCTAATTCAGTCATACGTGGATCGCTTCAAAGAGTTGCCTCGTGGACCACAGGCTTTGAAGGCTTTGGAAGCAGCTTGGCGCCGAGATCAACCGTACTTCAAAGATATCCCTCTTTGATTGTTGATTTTGGTCACTATGTTTCCGCAGTGTGTGATGGTTCTGGTAATCTTCATAGGAAATATACATTTTGACGTGAATGCCTCCGTCTGAGGGCGATGAAATTTCCATCGTTTCGCTATGTAGTGAAACTTCGAGTAATCACGGGTGAGCACTTGTCATCTGGTACGGGGAGGTGGGTCAAACGAAGCCGGAGAGTTAAGATGCAATCAGAGGTGTTTCTAGTCAAATAGCATGCTTGTTCCTTTTTATCATCCGAATGCTGTTTCAACTTGCCTTGCACAAACGATCCACGTAGTCTTTATTGCTTGCGTGATTCTCACCCACCACAGGGACTTAGCCCAATCGAACTACCCTGTTGATTCCTGAGGTGCTCGGGGCTGATGATTTCCAATAAGCATAAAACAGATGTGAAATGCTTCTCGCTTTTCCGGACTACTGTAGAGGTTTCATCCGATCAGTGCAGCCAGTCTATGCTGCAGAGCATGAACTGATGACAATCCATAGTTTGCGTTGGCTTGGCCACGTGTTGCGTATGTCATTTGATCGACTTCATCGAAAGGTTCTTGTCGTGCAAATACGCAAAGGGTGGAAACGAGCCATGGGAGGTCAAACAATGACCTGTCAGCGAAGTATGAAAGCCATTACCAGTACACTCACCTGCGCTGGTCATTGCGTCTCCGTGGATGGGAACCCCGAGATGGGCCTCATCAATGGTTAGAGACATTGTCAGACATGGCCCAGTCGCGATCTCAATGGCGCTCATACATCCGAGCTATTGCCTTCAATGCAAGGCTCCCCCAATCTTTCCAATTAAAAGACCACTAGTAACCCTATATTTATGCATCAATTAAATCAGCTACCACCTCCAATGCGCAGCTATATACCTCACCGCCCCAATACATCGATGAAGGGAACTGTGGCAGTTATAACCACTGGGCGACAAGTTCGTGGTTCTTACAGCTGATGATGATGCCTAGAAGCATTGTATCGCTGTTTCACTCTTGTTGAAGATCATCAGCGGTGCGTATCTCACGAAAATCAGTGTCGAACTGTGGACCTTCTGTCCACTGGTTGAACACAATAGTTTGGCTACGAGTTGCTGATCAGCATTGCGACTAGCTCTCTCTATCTCTCCGGACTTCAATTACGGAACAAAATCTCGATTGGTCCATTGTGCCCAATATAAGTCTTCGGTCTTCAGTTGGTAGCCATTTATATGAAGCTGATGCAAAGCAATTTCTTGTTTCTATCTTTATGGAGATTTATAGGGAGTACACTCATTCGATTCTGATCCCTGAAGAATTCCTGGTGCGTACTTTTTTATCTGGAAATTCTAAATCCTTTTTCGGATAAGTGAAGAATGTGTGGCCCTCGCTGCAAAGTAGAGGAAATCGCTGTCCTTTTTTTGAATACTTCGACAGGTGACCAGGATCAGCTTATGCATATGTGTTGCCTGTTGTATGATATTTTCTAATTTAGCCTCCGATACAATCTGTTTTCGGAGTGATCGCACAGTATATCTTACCTGTTNTTTCGGATAAGAGTGATCGCACAGTATATCTTACCTGTTATGGAACCGTGCTGTGTGCTCTAATATGTACAAAATAATTCTCTCTCCATATTGCCATGGTTTATTCCGAGTACTGGCGCCACCTGTAGGAAGCTCAGAACCGGAAGAGCTTGATAGCCACTGTTTTGAAATGTCTGATTGAAGTTTTTCAGAAAGAATAGCCTGTGTTCATGTCTATCAGGTCAAATAGGAACGTGTAGTAGCTCTTCAAAACCTGTATAATAGACGGTAGATTCTGAGCGTCATTTTACTATACCAAATCGATTCACATTGGCGAATGAAGCTTCCACTTCTGATTGTCATTTGAGCCTTGTTGAGATTTCGCTAAGCGTTCGGCTTTTGCACCTGCTTTGGATTCCTTAATCACCAATGCACTGTCCAGATATTCGTTCACTCGCGTGGCTGGAATGGATCGGTGTAGGTCGAATTGATTCGGTTGATGTCACAGTTGAATCACATCTGTCGCTCATTCCATAGCTCTACGTTGTTGCTTGTTACGCATACGATGCGTCTGGGTCACTTTCCTATGCATTTATTTCATTTGCGAGATTTATGGCTGTTATATTCGTTGAGGCCTCGTTATGGATACCTCATTACGCACTCAAAGACGTTCCTGAGAATTTAGTGTACACTATTTCTCCAAGCACCATTTTTTCAGTCCGGAAAAAGGGTAGTTTCCAAAAAGTAGGTTTTTCAAGCCGCCAGGCTGATCCACAACCGATAGGTGAGTGCCCAAGCTTCTCCGTTGTATTTTCACTAAGCATCTTCTAAACACATCCTGGTGCTGACCAACAATAGTAATGAAGTGGAACTGCGACGTTCCTATGAATCTTGGGGAATCTGTCCTATCACGGCAAACTATCATTCGACAACACTTTGTCATGTGTAAACGAATGAAACGTAATGATGTAAGAGGATATTATCCAGCCTGCATCACGGTTTCCATTCAAATCGATCTTATATTACAGAACTCCTGCGTACCACGGATGAGTTTCTTATCTTTGCCTCAACGAAGGATTTGTAATGTTAGAAGTCATTTAGAGAGACAATACAATCACGAGACATCATTTCAAGGAATTTGCAACTAAATTGACTAAATAGGCTACCTTCGATCTCCTGGTTGTAAAGAGGAACCGCATATTCCTGCCCTCACCTTAGAGGCAAAATGTGTATGGTTCAGTCAAAAAGAACTTTGCCCAGCCAGTAGCTCAGTCAAGCTTACCCCTGTCTCTCGTTCACTACGCCAAAACTACCGAATGTTGCTGTCCCCTCCCCCAAAGAGGTTAAGTGCGGATCATCCACTTCAGCTGAAATGATTAAGGCATTCCATGGAAGGTTGACACAAGGTCGTAATTTGACGAAACTGTATAATCGTGGCAAAACCAAGGGGGTGGAAATCCCAATTCTACCAAAGTTCACAGGATCCCTCTTCCTTACACAACTATCGTAGCACTAGGTCATCCACAAAGACGAACGAAAAGTGCCAACGAGGTTCAAGAACGATTATCGCGCGAACTGAATCGGAAGAACTAGACCCTAAGGTTGACTCAAATCCATGTGGGTTTCCCCATCGGCTTGACACTCGGTGACCCACCCTAACATACAGAATCTCATCGCCGATACCCAACACAAATTTAGCTTGACTTGACTGATCGGTTCTCCGTTCGCCTTAAATCTCGACCAACCTCATAACCTAGCCAAATAGCCTGAAGCTTCTGCGTCAAAAGCGAAAGTTGCGCAGCAATAAATCTGACATGTGTTCCCAAACGTTTCCGAAAACCGGAATTCTTTTTTGGTGTATTCACTACAAGGCCGGTCCTTGAAGGCGCAGTTCGAAGTCGTGCACATCTCGGACCGAATGTTATTACTACAGACCACTGATAAGTTGGGCAATGAATTAGCAGCGGAGCTATTTTTCCGCTCTCCCTGGAGGGTGTAAGCTCTACTCATTTTGTGCGTTCCAAATAAAAGAATCAAGTTAGTGTTTGGAGCGCAATTGAAACGCGAGACTTGTTTTTAGCATTAGCTTACTGGACAATTGTGCTCTTAGATCGCGTGCGAATTATGGATCTATTAAGTTAATCGATTTTACGCCCATAGCGTCTTGAAGCGAGCTAACATTGTTTTGTATTGAACAAAGAGTTCACGTAGACATGTAACTTGGTCAGTTTGTGTCCTACTTGGAAACGAAACTGAAATGATCATGGTTGTTTTCGAAAACAATTGAATGAACAATTCCACTAGTAAACACATTCGCTCCAATGTTTTGTAATATTCACGAAGTGGCTGACTAGATAATTTACTTTCACCCCAGCTAGGAGCCAAAGTTTGCTATTAGGCTTATTACATTCTAAATTATTACGCTTCGGCTGACATTGTTGGGTATAAAGCAACGACGTGCCGTAACTCCCCCTCCCCAGAAGAGACAGTATGGAGAACGGGTGTCCTGGTCACTCTGGCGGATACAAGTGGGACGAAAATATCTTGTGATACAGTGTTTGTGTGATACAGTTCTTTTTTAGTCACTCTCCCACGAGGAAGCACTGTGAAATCCATCGAAGGTGTATTACCAAGGAGAGAGTACTGTACTTTTGTTTATAAACAGCTGGTCAGTCCTTTCAATCGGCGTCTCCATCAGCAGACACTTGTGCATATCTCCTGAGAGTGAAACTGCCACTTCGGGAAACTATGAGTGTATCTTATTATGAAGAGCGCTCAACAATATGCTATCTAATCAGAGTAACACAAATTAGCCCCGTAGGTCATATGACCAAGCTGTACGATCACACACTGGGTGCAACAAGGGTCGTGGTAGAATACAAATCCTTTCCGTAATGAGCCTGCCTGACTAGGTTGAGTGATGAATCCCGTAGTAGAGTCATATAAACAGCACAAGTAGATTTTTAATGAATTAGTTGTGAGTACACCACAAACTAATTGTGTGCCAGATAGACGCAAAGACAACCGCATCGACTGCCGAATGACGAGAACACCCGACCTTGATTTCGGCCAAACCAACTCGGTACAGCTAACAGCGTGTTACGCTCAACTGTACTGTTGATGCCTAGTCCTGTTAGATCGTGTCCTTCTGAGCAGATCCAGCAGCGAAAACGCACACCAGTGAGTTCTGTTACCTCATGTTTGCTGCCAACTAAGCACTAATCAACTGGTTTTGGTGCAGATCCGAGCAAAGTAACTATAACAGTATGAATGAAGTCCCTAAAGTGCTACACGATTTATCGAAGTAATAAAATGCTCCAGGTTAGTTCACACGTGAAATATACGTACCCAAAGCAACGAGGAATACGAAGACTCGGCCAGTAAAGATAAATTGGACAAACCAGGAGAGAATTACAAGTGTATTTGTTGAATACGGGTCCGTTATGGTTGAATTTCGATACCGCTCCTGATGTGCGCAGCACGGAAAGGTCGTTTGCTCCATAATTTGAAACCACGTGGTCATGTAAAATTGATAGGTGAACATGTGAAGGTGACGCGTGATAAAACTCAAGGAAGCGTACTTTATCCCCACCTGTTTTTGCTAATATAAAAGAAATTCATGCTGAACACTTTTACTGCATCAGGTCTATCTAATGTATCTTTACACTCCCCCAACCGCGCACTGATGATGTCTCCTTGTATGGTAAGGAAATGGTTGGAGGCTCGGCGAACCGCCAACCGATTAACGGGCAACTTTTACACCATGGCTAAATGTGATGAGGGAACTGGTTTCAGTGGATTGTATACTATGTGGTGCACAGAATTCTTCCGTAAACACCAATTTTCATAGAGATTTTGTCGTTCATGTCACTGCAATACAAAGACATAGATGTACGTGATGCGATTATAGAGGAATTAGATAATAGGTGGGGATAACAATCCCACTATTAGCCTCGATGTATGCAGAACGTGTTTTGTGGACGTAACAGACACGTTAAGTTGTACGGTTTGGTCAACTCCAAGCCGAACATGTAACAGGATATGATCAATCCGTCTGACACGAGCAGTCACGTTACCTACCACACTCATTTGGCAACCTAGAATACTGATGTCGGGTTTTGCCATGGTTCGCTTTAATAAGCGTGGCATTACCACACCTAGAAAATCGTTCTACTGAAACAACTTTTCGGTACCTGGCTGCTACACCACCCGAAGGAGGCACCAGGACTAGGGCATTGCTAGGTTGCCCAAGAATAGACAGGAACAGTCGATAGGCAGAGGTTGACTTCGAACCGCAGACATTTCAATCAGTAAGCCCCCGCCACTGAGCTACCTCGCGGTCGGCTTTGTGTAAATCGGCACTCAATAACCGTCAGTTAAACTAATACCGCAGACTGCCGTCAGCAAGCCATACTTCTTCATTCAATCAAATCTTAACAAGGACAGCCATCCTAGTCTAGTCCGAACCGTGTTACAGTGCGCTGGGCGATGTCGCTACCCGCATGCTTGTTGCGCGAGGAGTGGTCTGACATCGGGCTTTAGCTTCTAGGGCCTGTATAAGCCTAATCAACGAGAGCCACCGAAGATTAAAGACCCCGGTTTGACCGTATTCGGTTCGTATGATTGGAAGTATCGTCTTTCAACTTGGTGAAGATTAATCAACAGTTAGGCGAGCTATAGTCAAGAGACTCGAGTCCCAACCACATTCAACATGAATGGTGAGTTTGTCATCAAAATTAGCCAAATACGGTTGTAATATTTCGAAAAAAGAACTTGATGTTCTATGTCCAGCAATGCTTAAAGTCGACACACTATACGTGGTACTTTCATGTTGTGCCACAGTGCTTTTCAGTCAGAATCGGCCGCAGTTATTCCATATGATGCCGCTTCCCTAATCACTGAGTATAGACTTCAGGGGCATACTGAAGCTCGTTTTACTTTGGCTGTTATTTGCGCCCAAACATCATGATGCTTGATGCCCCGCCAAACAGTATCAACGGTGACCGAGGAACAGATGCGTACCAGCTGATTAGTGGAAGATACATGCAGGCATAGAATAGGAAGATCACTGAGTCAGGATGTGCCTGGAACACCACACGTTTGTTGGACAGGGCCGACAGGAAGGTTCGTATTCTGAAATATAAGCACATCAGCTTGCCAACACATCAAATTTGGCGACGGTTTATATACCCAATTCCACTCATACTGTGGACTGGTGGATATGACTGACTTGATTGCCTAGTTATCTAACAAAGACTACCGTTGTATTAGAGCCGACTGTGTTTGACAAGTAAGTCGGATTAGACTGCTGAATAGGTAAGCATATGTCTATGCTGGGAATTTATTAACACATGTTTGTAATAAATTGATTATGCGAAGTAACGTGCGATGAGCTGATTACATTCAAAGGATCGATCACCACTTCCCGCTAGGTTGTCTGATATCATCGGATCAAGAAGCACGCGCAGACATGTAGCATTTACTGTAACAGTATTATTACTGTATTGTTATCGTTAGTGCAACTATGATCGCGGCTATGTGCACGATCATTTGTGATCGATGAAATTCGGCCGATGTACTACTGTCGGTCCATTCGTTAACAGTGGATTCGGTACTGAAGGCTGTCTCTACCGAAAGTGTCAACAACATGTGACGAAAATGGAACCAATCACTTTTCTCTGTGGTTCACTTGCTTGATAAATTCACAGACCATGCATGATCGCACAACACCCATGCGATATGGACACGCCTGCAGCTGAAAAGCTTCCACAGATTATTGACAAAGTTGATTTCGACTATGATGCAGTCAACTGGCTCAGATCAAATAAAGACGAACCAAAAACTGCTGCTGAGGCACGCAGAACACTGCGCGAGATCCTCCGAGAGCAAAGTGATGCTTGTCGTCGAAATGAACTAGCCCTAGGAAGGCCTGAATTCAACATCCTGTATGGTCGACCAGGTGCGGACAGTCAAGGGACAGAGGCATTTGATTGGTTCCCTCCCAGAAAATGGCCAATCGATGCTGTTCATCTGATTGTCTATATTCACGGAGGATACTGGAGGGCCATAGACTTACCCGAATGCACCAATTTCGCCACACCAATCACTCAGTCAGGCGGGATCTTTGTTGCAGTGGGCTATCGTCTGGCTCCTTGGCAAACGATCCATGAAATGCCAAGCCGATTGTGTATAGCGCTGACCCACATTATCGATTATACGGAGAAACGTATAGAACAGGAAACCCATTCACGATTGCCGGTTAAGCTTCATTTGATGGGTCACTCCGCTGGAGCTCATCTTGCTTTGGAAACGGTGATGGCCGGACTCCAGGCTCGGCGGGAAGTCAACGACCGTTGGATCAAGGCCCTGGGCACTATGGTTCTTATTGCAGGGATTTATGACGTCAGACCAATGGTGCACACGTCCATTAATACAGCTCTCCGGCTACGGTCGGCAGACGAGGCGTGGGCATGCAGTCCGTTGCGGTTATTCACAGACTTTCCAAAGGACCACTTCAGACAAATATCGCACATTGACGTGCTGTTTGCATGGGCAGAATATGACCCACCCGCCTTAATACAACAATCACAAGACATGTCAAAACTATACGCAGAATACTCAAAGACCTACGGTGCACAGCTACACATTGGGAGGGTGGAGACGTACTGCGCCAAGTACGAGGATCATTTCACCACTATAACGAACCTTAACAATGGAACATCGAGCAGTGCTTTACTCAAAAAGATACTGGAATTTATTGGACTTCTATGATCTGTGAGTGGTGCTCGATGCCTTGTCCGTCAGATGTGTTATACAGCTGGTTCCGGTAACGTCTATAGGATTTGCTGGAATATGTACTGCGGTTCCGTGATTGAAACAGACCAATAAATACATACCTTCGGGGCCTTTGGAAGTGGGAAACCATGTTCTCGTGTCTTTCGTGCTAAGCTGTAAACAAAATGGGCACCTAGATTACGTGATAAGACTCGAAAGATGCAGATTCAAAAACTGACCGAACTTACATATACAATCATACTAGGTGTGTGAAAGCTGCCCGCAGCAGCAGCAGCTGTTGGTTTGGTCACATGGAAAAATTTTACTTAGTGTATTTGTCTTTGTCCGAATCTTCAATGTTTCCCACGAGTAGTATGCAAAGATTGGCGAAAATTTGTCGATAGTCCACTAATCGAATCCTACGTTACGGCAGATATGCAGAACACAGGCTATCGTGAGGGAAGGCTTGTTAACTTCACCTGGAGACGAATATATATATATATATATATAAATATATATATACCCCAACATAAGTCTACNAGTCTAGTACGTTGGTCATACCTATTGTACGTCCTTCAGAAATGTGTTCCCAACTTGGAAGGGTGTCATCCGCGACGTCATATTATGATAACAATAATGGTAAACGGGGTCAGTGATACGGGGGCCACGGACCACAACTGCAACTGTGACGCCGGGAATTTCCAAAACATCACTTCGTATTCGCGACGAACAAGCGCAGTAGTTTAAGTCACCCCCTTCGACATCATGCCTCAGTCTGAAAGTGTGGCTCTGGGCAATTGTACCGTACAGAGAGAAAATTGTCACAGTTATCGACTTAGTTACACGTCTTAGCTAGTCGTTAATGGCCAGGCTGTTCATCCTAACTGATCGCATACATTCACAGAGGACTAACTGAGCAGTGTGAAGGTAACCGAAAGTTGTCTGGATGTGACACACCACTCCTAAGGCTGCTGAAACCCTCCGACAGCCCAGGACCCGTTTCGCCCTTCTTGCATTTCATCAAGTAGGCATAGTTCTCGAGTTTCCGTCAAACTCATACTCTGCTTGGACCCAAATTAAACGGAATTCTCCGAAATCATCATAGAGATTCCGTTGAGTATTCAGTCAGAACCAAATTAGAACAAAGATTATTTGGGGAAGTAAACAGGGGTCACTTTACATGAGTAACACTAGTTAGACTGGATTTCGCATTACTTCATCCTCTGGTTACGTAAAATAAATTTCAAGGTTAGGAGCTCGTGCGGCAGCCCTAGATCACAAGTGACCACTCAAGTGAAACGGTTGAACGGTAAATTTTAGGCCCAAGTCTAAAGCTGCTCAAGTCAAAATTAATAATAAAAAAAGCTGATTTCCATGGGCATGTATGTGTCCGTATGGCCAACAACCTGAATCGGATATTCGACAGATCACGTGTCATTCCGATTTCGCCTAATGAATTCCCGTCGGGAGCTGAGCTTTTCGTCACCTGGCAAGTTATTTGCTGTATTGTCTCGATATTGAATATCGTTAAAATGGGTCCAGGTGGCCCAGTGGATGGCGTGCCGAAACTTCGTTTCCAAAAGTGTGTTTCGATTATCCGCATGAGCGCTTTCGAACTGGCTGTCGGCGCCGCCCTGCAATGTTGTACACATGTTTCATCAATAAAAAAGTTAGAAAAAATTGCTTTTACTTAACCGAGGGGCTAATGCTAAGTATGAAGGTCAACCTGCTGTGTGCTGATGCCTCTTAACTGCCCGTAACGTTTGAAAGGAACCGGAAATTAATCAGGAAAGGCGTCACATGTAAAGATTAGCCAGATAAGAAATTTCACGTTATGGACAATCAGGCTGACGTAGAGAGTAAGACACGCTACGATTCCACCAGTAGTCAAGCCTTGGTGACATGAGGACCACTCGGCAACCGTCCAGACTTTGCAACTGGTGAATTTTATTTGACAGGCGCAAACCCGTTGACCAAGTTCCCAGAGAATTCATGGACCACATCAACCAAGAACGCATAGCCCACCTATCCAGGCATGGTAAATCAGGTTCACTCATCGCGTGCTGCTGAAGTGGTGGTAAAACGCTGGCCTTTTCTATCAGATGTTAGTTGTTCAAATCCCAGCACAGTCATGGATAAGCTCTAATAAGTGCGAAACTCCAGTTCAATGTTCCCCTAAATACTTAATTGTTTTCACGGACATATTCAGTGTGGTCGATAGAGGAACTTTTATAGCCTTGCTAGCATGCAATACGAGCGAACTCTTGTTAGGTGTCTGTCAAAAATGGCTTACGAGATCTGCACTCACAATAGTCCGGGTGCAAAACTGAAGTTTATTAAAAAAAACCTTTATCAAATATGTAGACCCCGAGGAGTCCGCACGCGAAAGTCTAGGACGTTCATGTGGGAACGAAAATTATATACAACATTTCGGTTCCCGGGAAACCTGTTTACATAGAGTCGCAAATTTCGGACACTCATGCGTCAACCAGAGGATTCGGTGCAACTAGAATGCTTGTTAACAAAAACTTGAAAACGGTTAATCGGTCTATGATTCCTCTGTTCCGCAAACAGTGTGTATCGTACGATTCCACGCCTATTTTGCAAAATAGTTGGGTATTTACCGTCCTACATCAGAACGAGAGAGGCTAAATAGGTAACCGGTGCTACTGTAAAACACCTGGGCGACACCAACTACCAATTCAGCCCGACCGTGTCAACCATTTCTTGGTTCTAGCCAAAAAACGTTCAGATGTAGCAACTTTTCGGTTCTTAACTAGCAGGAAGCACGAAGGCTGGGATACTGTCAAGTTGCCCAAGCCTAGACAGGAGAAGTCGAGAGGCAGAGGTCGGTCTCGACCTTTTGATCTGTAAATTCGCGCCCTAATCACTGAGCCATTTCGCCCGAGTTCTAGGCAACCGAATTCCACCTATAAACCCCTGAAACGTGTAGACTTCGCAAATGCACTTGTCCGGTGAGATTCCCGCAACCTAATTAGAATGGCAGTACCTAGTACATTGCACAGCCGTTTTATCTACAGAGGTAAGTCTCTTTCACATTTTAATCGCCACTCTCATACTTCATTTCGGATAACTCTCAAGGGAGATTAGGACGGCTCCATGAAAGTCATATAGTCGGATGCGATTAGCCCAATCACTCGGCTTTTGTTTGAGCACATGCTACTGAACTTTGCACTATCGAGCACGTGACAGGAAGCGGTGATAATAGAAAGCGTTGAACCGAGTCGCCGCTGAACGCAGAGGGCCTCATCTCCCAAATCCGCAGCTGTTTACACATGCACAACAAGAGGTCGAACGCCTCCTCTATCTGCACCCGATATTCCCGCTATCACACGCAGACAACCAATTGGAACCACAGACAAATTGAGTATCAAAGACAGACAGACTGTCCCTCGGGGAATACGACAGGCCGATTTATCAACTTCCCAATGATAGCACCCTTCCTAATATAGGTTGAAAAATATACTATTCAGTGAGGAGTAGCTGACCAGTAGTATGGTTCACTCGCACCTAGATATGATACATTGTTAGTCATATTTTGACCACACAATTCGCATCAACTGATCTAGTGTTTTCCTACCTGAGAATTCCTCCTGCAAATCAAGTTGGTCTGTGCTGAGTGGCTGCACATCTGTTTCACCTTTGTAGGGAATCATGAGTGGTACGCATTTCACAAATCTGTGGAAATCTGGTGTTGAGGGTTTCATTGAGTGGAGGGTTTTCGGCGTGGGCGAACTCTACTTTACACTTACTAACCTAAGTTGTGGCGACTGGCTCCTATGACAGGATGATGCGGCTTCCGGATACCTCGCACAGTTCCCGTCTCACAGGAAGAAACTTCAAATGCCCGCGTCATGAACATTCAAGTCCATAACTGGTTGGGGGAACATCATCATACTAAATTACTCCGTCTATCTCTTACGCGAAGATGAACCAGCTAGTCGATAATGTATCCGCAGAGTGGTTATTTACACCAAGGGTCAGAATGCTACTTATTACGAGTGTCCGAAGGCGTACCGGCTACGCTTCGCAGCATGAAGCAAGACAGATCTTCACGCTAATTTCATTCCTCATTCGTGGGAATGCTATTTGGGCGGAGTTCGACCGGCCCGTGACTTTCCCCTCGGCCTGTCCGTTCGAACGGACTGTTAGTACGAGGTATTTAAACCAGCAAACTTTCCAGAACCCGTTCGTCCGTCCGTGAGCATCGGAGTTGAACGAAAACGGACAAAAGACCTTGATTTTCGAAACAGTGATACCCAACTGACGACGAGAACACGATGACCAACTAGACGACATCGCCCACACATTCTAGGTCCGTGGTCGACGCATTCTGTTCGACATCCACTCTGTGGTGAATGTTGATGGCCTGCTCGATAACCAAACCAACCTTAAAATTGAACAGAAACGCTTACAGCGCTGTTGAACCCATGGTCAGGTTTTTCATCAATAAAGACTGCGCTTGCAGCCTGATTAACGTAGTTGAGCTGGCCACCAGTCCCTTTGTCCCACATGGAACCCCCCCCCCACGAAAGTAGTTGGAGCATATGGACGCTGGTTATGGTTCTTTGTGGCGGTGATCTATGCTTTTTTAAGCCGTCATAGAATTTTAAAGTGTATTGAAGCCCGAAATGGTAAAAGCAACGAATGCGACAATAACCACAGTACCCCGGATTGGAAGATGTGATGCATGTTTCAAGACCTGTTTGTTAAAAATACAATTTACCTGGCATGAAAAGTTTGTAGGACTATGCCGTGGTTGGACAGGATGACCGACCAGAGCAAATGGCTCATGAACTCGCAAGCCACTTTAATGTGCATGCCACTAGTGAGCGGCCCACATGCACCTTTAGTGATAAACGGGAGCACGAAAGGTTCGGAGAACGATAACTTTTCAAACTGAGATCTCTTGAAATCACACAAAGCTATTCAAAACTATTCAAAAGTGTCACGAAAGCAGATTCAACGTATAGTGAAGCCTATTTTGAAGTACCTCATCCAACGGATATGTTGTACATGAGCGCGCACGTATATCTCACTAAAAATGTGATGTACGAGTAACTTCAATTGGTTACTTTATGGTTAGATGGTATCTGGCTGCTACAGATTGCAAAGCATTCAATAGGTGTCCCGATAACTGAGCCTGCACTCCTTAAGACACTCTGGTTTCACTTCGGAGAGCAATAGAATTGCTATCAGGACACTTTAAAAGTGGCTCCAACACATGTTGATATTGCTGCGGGGACATATTTGAATAGTCCCAAAACGGCTTAGTATGATTTCGAGGGGTCATAAGGTGAAAGAAGATACCGAAAACGGTGATGCGTGACAATTTGGTCAAAGTAGCCTTTGTCTGTAAGAAAACTTGCTTGGTTTGGTCTGGTACGCGTTTCTCGTCGTCAGAGCAGTTTACGAGAACGGTCAAAGTTTTGTCCGCTACATTGAATAGGCTTAAGTGCGAGAGTAATCACACTCATACTCTAAAAACTAACGTCGCCAAACAACGCGAATCTGGCCGGCAAGTACGCTATGTTAGGACAACATAGCATCTAAATACTAACCAGATAGCTTAACACTACAACTATATCTACCCGAAATAACTTCAACATCGCCCATGAAAACCGAGCACGTGCGTCAGACATAGAACTCTGTCCAGCCGAATTAGTAGGAAATAGAGTAATTCAATACAAAAGATGGTATTGGAAACCAGTGAGTAAAGGTTACGGTACATAATATGGACGAGTCTATGGGGCGGGACCGACCTGCTGCAGGTGCTTTGCTACATCCACCCAATTCCACCCACGGGGCAGCTCTCCGTTGACATCCAGGCGGCGGTAATGTGCTCGTTTTTGAGCCTTTGTTAGCTGTACTTTCTTTTCTGCCTTCTTGGTAGGCTGCTGGATGGGCGAAAAAGGATGAGGACACAACTGGAATAGAGCAACTTACCTCATCAAAATTACTTGCCAAATTGGTATCTCCAGCTGTGGTAGCCGCGGTGGATGACAGTGAAAGACTGAAATAGCGCTCAGCGTTCTCGCGGGCGTAATCGATCAACGAAAATGTCATTGCTGTCCCAAGCTGCTCTTGTGCCAACGCATTTAATTCCTTGACTACGAGGAGTTTTACCGCGGTAGACAAATGCCCGTTGTAAAAAGAGTCTAAGGAGATTGTCGGCAAAACTGTCGGGTAGCCATCGGGCCATTGGATGGTCAGAATCATAGACTTCGGGGTGCCATGTTCACCAAGCTAGTTAGGGTCGCGTAAGTTGTGTAAGCAAGGATTTTGTAACACGGATTACCTTATATTCGACTGTATAATCATCCGAAACGCTCAGCTCATTAGGATCATAAATTGATGCCAATACTTCCGCTTCCTCCTAGACTGGCCAGGAATGTAGCTGCACGACATTTGATTGGACGCTTACCTGTCTAGGATCAGACATTGGCGAAAAGTGCAGTCAGCACATGTCCTAAATAGCAAAGAAGCAAAATGAATTCATGAGAAAAAGAATGACGAGCAGCATCTGCCTGTGATGAAAACTAGTAGTTTGGAAAGACCACTTTAATAATTCAGAAACCGAACCATAGAAAGAATATACCTACAGTAATGCCTAGGATACCAGATGACCCGTAGTGCAGTTCCACACCATTTTAAGTTTGGAGTACTGCATCCACTATTTTGCTTGTATGCTTTGGCCCAATCTTGTAACATCACATTTGTGACCCCGGTGAGAGACGAACGATTTCTCATGCCAACTGGTCACTGGGCAGAAGTCTGATGACCGCGGTCTCTGACCGCTCTAGTTTGGTTGAAACATGTATGTGGTGCTTCGTTCATTGGCAGTTTGGCAGCTGAAACAGACATATGTCAACTACGGCTACCATCAGCCAACTGAGTCCAGGCCCCTGGCTGGGGTCCCTAAATGCTTTCCTGTCTAGGCTTGAATGCCACGGCAGCATCCCAACAGGCGTACAACCCGGAACTATAGCAGTAAGAAACTGCGTCATGTCTAATCATCCGTCGCGCGATGTCATCAGCTACATTGATTAATGCATAAAGCAAGATAGGTAAGCGAAAGCAACCTGCTGACACATTCTTTTTTTCTCTCATTCTTTCCTTTGAACCCACTCGACCGCCAGTTATCTCGTCATTGGGCCATACATGAGGACTGGCGGCTTCTGTTGTATCGTACCGCCGTTACCCGAAGCAACTCGGATTCCAAATCAAACTTCGAAACCGTTTCACTAGGTGCGTCCAATATAATCATTCTGAAACTAACAGGACAACAAACTGTTCATGCTCAATGCTTGCCATTGATCTGTCGGGTTCGTTTAGGATAAGGATTCAAGTTACGAAAAAAATTCGCCGAATAGAACACATAATTTCTTGTCGTTCCCGATAGTGCACATCTGGTTAATCAAAAGCTGGTGTGTCGCACTATGCCCCGATCGATATGCTGTTGAGCCACCTTCCAGAAGGAACTTTTGCGCGCCTCGGAGCGTCTGAGAGGCGAGATGGCGACCGCTGCTTATTCCTTACATCAGCATCCACCCCAAAAGGTTGTAGTCCCATTACTTTTCAAGACCGCTTTTACGATGTTATGAATACTTCACGACATAGGTTATGTGCAAGTTGAGCAATGGTCTTCTCATCATGATATTCCTATCAGTGGTGCCGATATGAAAAGCTCAGACGTAGCTGCGGGTGCCAGACACAAACGAAAGTGAGGTATGCTTACCGATGCTGAGGCTAATGGTCATTCTCCTTATCTATAGTGACATTTTTATACAAACCAAATATGGTTCTGGTCTGGAATTAATCACACTCTGTCCACAGCGAATCGTTCGGGCATACTCCTAATCCCTGGAGATGTTGGGATACTTCAGTCCATAGAACGCACTGCTTGGTGGGTTTTTTAATGCAGATGTAGTGCCAACGCTGGATGTTTCCGGCAACTGTGTGGTGAAGAATTTCACAACAGCACCGAGTTAACATGAGGACATCATATTCATTGACTTGATGAATCTTCGTTCAAACAAATGAATGGTTTGATTGAATATTGTCATGTCGCAGCCGTTTTCTATGACTTACCACAACTTTTCGAGCGTTTTAAACTCATCTCTGACAGCAATACCAATGGACAGGACTTGTGCTTCGCTGTCGTATTTGAATAAGCCCTTACAATGGAGACAAAGAAATGGATCAGGTGGAGGACCCGGCCCAGCCTACCACAAGTAACCGGGATGCCTATACTTTCAACCCTTAGACAATCTGAATATAGGCTGACAGCCTGAAACTCAGTGACATCAGTTAGCCACTATATCGTCCACGACCTCCGGGCAAGCACAGAGAGGGTCATGTGGACCCCGTCCTGGAAGGCGAAAAGCAGCAACAGCGTCCAAGATTTTCGTAACATTTTTCATTCCCTTCTGCCAGGTCAGATTCTATCCACCTCTAGATTTCCGTCCCTCCGAAGTGAGCATGGAAAACAGCGCTTGTCTCGGTATGCGTGACGCATGGCGGAGTCAACTTAGTTTCCAGTGCTGAGTGCACTTTGAGAGAAGTACCCTATACTTCACCAAAACTGGTCTGCTAATCACCGCATTGCGAATTCACTGGTTCCAGGCGAGTACAGCTGTGGTTCTGAGACACTGACCATTAAAGACCTGAAGTTGTCTCAGACCCCAAGTCGTTATGCTTCGTAGACGCATAGCCGCATTTTAGTCACGAAGAGACTGGACCTTACCGTGGTGTGATGGTTTGCGCACCTCAGCGATCCATTGAGCTACACTGGAG